CCCCAAAACCCCAAAACCCCAAAACCCCAAAACCCCAAAACCCCAAAACCCCAATTTTCACACCTAAATTGATAATTTTTATAGCTCTAAAATGGATTTCTCAAAGAATATAATAAACAGTGGGAATAATAAAAAGCCAGGTGCTCCTGCCCCTCCAGCTAGAAAAGGAAGGCAACTTAATAAAATTCCTGCAGCTGGTGGAAAGAGACTGGGTGGCAGCCCTGACCGTATCAATACTCTGACTGGAATGAAGATGAAAGAAGAAAGGAAAGGAGGTAGAGGTGGTAGAGGAGGTAGAGGTGGTAGAGGAGGCAGAGGAGGCACTCGTACTATGAGAGGAGGAAGCAACACTCAAGTTATTCACAAGCCAAGGTAAGATTATTCCTTATCTCCTGCTTTCATTCAAGACCAGGTAGTGATATGTGTTTAGAAAGCCTGCTAAGAAAGCTGGAGGACAGAAAGCGAAGCCTGCAAAATTTGAAGAGACAAAGTAAATTATACTTATAATTTTTAGAATTCAGAGTTCAGTAAATGGTCAAATGGTTGGGAGTAATACAGATCATTCTAAATGGAGATGCAAGACCTGAAAATTCCTTAACGATATCTGAGAAGAGAAGTGCTCTAGATGTAAAGAAGACAAGCAAGTCTTCAAAGAAAAATCTGTCTTTGGAGGTGCCAATGCAAAGAGAAGAACTGTAGAAAGAGGTAGTGGAGTTAAGCCTGCCAGAAATCTTAAGAAAGATGAAGAGCAGAAGCAACCAGGTAAGATTTATATGCCAATATCTAAGGAATGAGATCAGGAGCTTCAAATGTTGGTGGATTTCAGACCAAGATCAGGACTGTCGGAGAGATGAATTATGACAATTCTTCAAGACCTGGGGAACAGAAAGTTGGCAGAATTGATAACTCTATGACTACAGTTGAAAAACTTCAGAAAATAGCGATGAATAGTGATAAGTTAGACACAATGCCATGCATGCAAAAAGCAAAAGATAGAAGGCGTGTAGAGGATCTAAGAGACCCAGCAAAGTTCAACATGGGAACATTCGACACAGAATAAACATCAATTTGGAGAATTTTTATAGGGGTTTTGGGGTTTTGGGGTTTTGGGGTTTTGGGG